CTAAACGGGGGATCGGTGTCGTGTGTGTGTATCTACTTGTGTATATGTATGTATATCTATGTATGTCTATGTGTGTACGTATGTACGTGTATGTATATAAGTGTGTATGTATATCTGTGTGTATGTATATAAGTGTGTATGTATATCTGTGTGTATGTATATCTGTGTGTATGTGTATCTGTGTATGTGTATCTGTGTATATGTATGTCTGTGTGTATGTATATCTGTGTGTATGTATATCTGTGTGTATGTGTATCTGTGTGTATGTATATCTGTGTGTATATCTGTGTGTATATCTGTGTGTATGTATATCTGTGTGTATTTATATCTGTGTATGTATATCTGTGTGTATGTATATCTGTGTGTATGTGTATCTGTGTGTATGTATATCTGTGTGTATATCTGTGTGTATGTATATCTGTGTGTATGTATATATGTGTGTATGTGTATCTGTGTGTATGTGTATCTGTGTTTATGTATATCTGTATGTATATCTGTGTTTATGTATATCTGTGTGTATGTGTATCTGTGTTTATGTATATCTGTGTGTATATCTGTGTGTATGTATATCTGTGTGTACAGTGAGGGAAAAAAGTATTTGATCCCCTGCTGATTTTGTACGTTTGCCCACTGACAAAGAAATGATCAGTCTATAATTTTAATGGTAGGTTTATTTAAACAGTAAAAGACAGAATAACGACAAAAAATCCAGAAAAACGCATGTCAAAAATGTTATAAATTGATTTGGATTTTAATGAGAGAAATAAGTATTTGACCCCTCTGCAAAACATGACTTAGTACTTGGTGGCAAAACCCTTGTTGGCAATCACAGAGGTCAGACGTTTCTTGTAGTTGGCCACCAGGTTTGCACACATCTCAGGAGGGATTTTGTCCCACTCCTCTTTGCAGATCTTCTCCAAGGCATTAAGGTTTCGAGGCTGACGTTTGGCAACTCGAACCTTCAGCTCCCTCCACAGATTTTCTATGGGATTAAGGTCTGGAGACTGGCTAGGCCACTCCAGGACCTTAATGTGCTTCTTCTAGAGCCACTCCTTTGTTGCCTTGGCCGTGTGTTTTGGGTCATTGTCATGCTGGAATACCCATCCACGACCCATTTTCAATGCCTTGGCTGAGGGAAGGAGGTTCTCAACCCAAGATTTGACGGTACATGGCCCCGTCCATCGTCCCTTTGATGCGGTGAAGTTGTCCTGTCCCCTTAGCAGAAAAACACCCCCAAAGCATAATGTTTCCACCTCCATGTTTGACGGTGGGGGATGGTGTTCTTGGGGTCATAGGCAGCATTCCTCCTCCTCCAAACACAGCGAGTTGAGTTGATGCCAAAGAGCTCTATTTTGGTCTCATATGACCACAACGCTTTCACCCAGTTGTCCTCTGAATCATTAAAATGTTCATGGGCAAACTTCAGACGGGCATGTATATGTGCTTTCTTAAGCAGGGGGACCTTGCGTGCGCTGCAGGATTTCAGTCCTTCACGGCGTAGCGTGTTACCAATTGTTTTCTTGATTACTATGGTCCCAGCTGCCTTGAGATCATTGACAAGATCCTCCCGTGTAGTTCTGGGCTCATTCCTCACCGTTCTCATGATCATTGCAACTCCACGAGGTGAGATCTTGCATGGAGCCCCAGGCCGAGGGAGATTGACAGTTCTTTTGTGTTTCTTCCATTTGCGAATAATCGCACCAACATTTGGCACCTTCTTACCAAGCTGCTTGGCAATGGTCTTGTAGCCCATTCCAGCCTTGTGTAGGTCTACAATTTTGTCCCTGACATCCTTGCATAGCTCTTTGGTCTTGGCCATGGTGGAGAGTTTGGAATCTGATTGATTGCTTCTGTGGACAGGTGTCTTTTATACAGGTAACAAGCTGAGATTATGAGCACTCCCTTTAAGAGTGTGCTCCTGTATAAAAGACACCTGGGAGCCAGAAATCTTTCTGATTGAGAGGGGGTCAAATACTTATGTCCCTCATTAAAATGCAAATCAATTTATAACATTTCTGACATGCGTTTTTCTGGATTTTTTTGTTGTTATTCTGTCTCTCACTGTTCAAATAAACCTACTATTAAAATTATAGACTGAGCATTTCTTTGTCAGTGGGCAAACGTACAAAATCAGCAGGGGATCAAATACTTTTTTCCCTCACTGTATGTATATCTGTATGTATGCCTGTGTGTATGTATATCTGAATGTATATCTGTGTGTATGTATATCTGTGTGTATGTATATCTGTGTGTGTATATCTGTGTGTATGTATATCTGTGTGTATATCTGTGTGTATGTATATCTGTGTGTATATCTGTGTTTGTATATCTGTGTGTATGTATATCTGTGTGTATATCTGTGTGTATGTATATCTGAATGTGTATCTGTGTGTATGTATATCTGTATGTATATCTGTGTGTATGTATATCTGTGTGTATATCTGTGTGTGTATATCTGTGTGTATGTATATCTGTGTGTATGTATATCTGAATGTATATCTGTGTGTATGTATATCTGTGTGTATGTATATCTGTGTGTGTATATCTGTGTGTATGTAAATCTGAATGTATATCTGTGTGTATGTATATCTGTGTGTATGTATATCTGTGTGTGTATATCTGTGTGTATGTATATCTGCGTGTATATCTCTGTGTATGTATATCTGAATGTATATCTGTGTTTGTATATCTGTGTGTATGTATATCTGTGTGTATGTGTATCTCTGTGTATGTGTATCTCTGTGTATGTATATCTGTGTGTATGTATATCTGTGTGTATGTGTATCTTTGTGTATGTATATCTGAATGTATATCTGTGTGTATGTATGTCTGTGTGTATGTATATCTGTGTGTATATCTGTGTGTATGTATATCTGAATGTATATCTGTGTGTATGTATATCTGTGTCTATGTATATCTGTGTGTATGTATATCTGTGTGTATGTATATCTGTGTTTATGTATATCTGAATGTATATCTGAATGTGTATCTGTGTGTATGTATAACTTTAGGCAGCGGTGGTGTAGAGGTTAGCACTGCACTATGAACCTGGCAACCTGAGTTTGATTCCCGCTCTCGGTCACCAACACCAGTCCTGGGCCTCCCCTAGGTAGATTTAGCCTCAAATGAGTACCTGGTGAGATGTTGTACAAACATTACCACTCGGGAGACAAAGGCGGCCGGGCGTGGTGCTGGCCACCCACCTTCTCGTGAGCCACAGTGCCCACCATAGGCACTGCTTCTCTCTAACAGCATTTGCACCTACAGTCTGTAACGGCTACACGGGAGACCTTTGTCTGTGCGTGGTACCTTTGTCTGTGTGACCACCTGGAGGACCTTTATCTGTGTGGTCCACCTGGGGGACCTTTATCTGTGTGGTCCACCTGGGGGACCTTTATCTGTGTGGTCCACCTGGGGGACCTTTATCTGTGTGATCTCCTGGGGGACCTTTATCTGTGTGATCACCTGGGAGACCTTTATCTGTGTGATCACCTGGGGGACCTTTATCTGTGTGGTCCACCTGGGGGACCTTTATCTGTGTGGTCCACCTGGGAGACCTTTATCTGTGTGACCACCTGGGGGACCTTTATCTGTGTGGTCCACCTGGGGGACCTTTATCTGTGTGGTCCACCTGGGGGACCTTTATCTGTGTGACCACCTGGGGGACCTTTATCTGTGTGGTCCACCTGGGAGACCTTTTTCTGTGTGGTCCACCTGGGGGACCTTTATCTGTGTGATCACCTGGGGGACCTTTATCTGTGTGGTCCACCTGGGGGACCTTTATCTGTGTGGTCACCTGGGGGACCTTTATCTGTGTGGTCCACCTGGGGGACCTTTATCTGTGTGGTCCACCTGGGGGACCTTTATCTGTGTGGTCCACCTGGGGGACCTTTATCTGTGTGATCACCTGGGGGACCTTTATCTGTGCGGTCCACCTGGGGGACCTTTATCTGTGTGACCACCTGGGGGACCTTTATCTGTGTGGTCCACCTGGGGGACCTTTATCTGTGTGGTCCACCTGGGGGACCTTTATCTGTGTGGTCCACCTGGGGGACCTTTATCTGTGTGGTCCACCTGGGGGACCTTTATCTGTGTGGTCCACCTGGTGGACCTTTATCTGTGTGGGTCACCTGGTGGACCTTTGTCTGTGTGACCACCTGGGGGACCTTTATCTGTGTGACCACCTGGGGGACCTTTATCTGTGTGGTCCACCTGGGGGACCTTTATCTGTGTGGTCCACCTGGGGGACCTTTATCTGTGTGATCACCTGGGGGACCTTTATCTGTGTGACCACCTGGGGGACCTTTATCTGTATGACCACCTGGGGACCTTTATCTGTGTGGTCCACCTGGGGGACCTTTATCTGTGTGATCACCTGGGGGACCTTTATCTGTGTTATCACCTGGGGGACCTTTATCTGTGTGAGCACCTGGGGGACCTTTATCTGTGTGGTCCACCTGGGGGATCTTTATCTGTGTGGTCCACCTGGGGGACCTTTATCTGTGTGGTCCACCTGGGGGACCTTTATCTGTGTGACCACCTGGGGGATCTTTATCTGTGTGATCACCTGGGGGACCTTTATCTGTGTGACCACCTGGAGGACCTTTATCTGTGTGGTCCACCTGGGGGATCTTTATCTGTGTGGTCCACCTGGGGGACCTTTATCTGTGTGGTCCACCTGGGGGACCTTTATCTGTGTGACCACCTGGGGGATCTTTATCTGTGTGATCACCTGGGGGACCTTTATCTGTGTGACCACCTGGAGGACCTTTATCTGTGTGGTCCACCTGGGGGACCTTTATCTGTGTGGTCCACCTGGGGGACCTTTATCTGTGTGACCACCTGGGAGACCTTTATCTGTGTGATCCACCTGGGGGACTTTTATCTGTGTGACCACCTGGGAGACCTTTATCTGTGTGGTCCACCTGGGGGACTTTTATCTGTGGACCAGCCGGGGCGGTGGTGGTGACCTTTTTTGCCCATGCCTTTGTCACGTGAAGGCGGCCGAGCTGGACGTGATCCTGGGCAAGGACCGGCAGAAGTTCTTCATCAACGGGCTGACCCTGGGCGGGGCAAAGTGCTCGGTGCTCAGGGACCAGCTGAACCTGGCCGACGACTGGACTATGGACCTCAAGACCAAGAGCGCCGCGGGGGAGCCAACGCTCAACATCAGCATCGCGTCCGCCTCCAAAGGTGAGGCTGGCTGGCTGGCTGGTCGTGGTGGTGGTGGTGGAAGTGGAGGTGGTCGTGGTGATGGAGGTAGTAGTGGTGGTGGTGGTCGTGGTGATGATGGAAGTGGTGATGGTAGTGGTGGTGGTAAAGGTGGTGGTGGTGGTGGTGATGGTGGAAGTGGAGGTGTTGGAGGTGTGGAAGTGGAGGTGGTCGTGGTGGTGGTCGTGGTGATGGTGGAAGTGAAAGTGGTGATGGTGGTGGAAGTGGAGGTGGTGGTGATGGTGGTGGTAGAGGTGGTGGTGAGCGGTTGTGTATCGGTTAGCACTGTGCCAGGAGCCCACCAACCTGAGTTCAATTTCCGCCCACGGCCAACACCAGTGACGAATATGTGAACCGGTATTGGGCCTCCCCTAGGTCGACTCAGCCTCAAATTAGTACCTGGTGTAGCGGTGGTGGTGTAGTAAACATCGCTGCTTGGGAAACAAAGGCGGTCGGGCGTGGTGCTGGCCACCCACCCACTCGTGTACCTTGCCAGCCTTCGTAGGTGCTGCTCCCTAACAGTCTGTTAAGGTTATAGGTGGCGAGGTGGGTCTTTCCCGATGGTGGTGTTAGTGGTGAAGGTGTTGGAGGTGGTGTTGATGGTGGCGGTGGTGGAGGTGGTGATGATGGTGAAGGTGGTGGAGGTGGTGATGATGGTGGAGGTGGTGGAGGTGGTGATGATGGTGGAGGTGGTGGAGGTGGTGATGATGGTGGAGGTGGTGATGATGGTGGCGGTGGTGGAGGTGGTGGAGGTGGTGGAGGTGGTGGAGGTGGTGATGATGGTGGAGGTGGTGGAGGTAGTGGAGGTGGTGATGATGGTGGAGGTGGTGGAGGTGGTGGAGGTGGTGGAGGTGGCGATGATGATCATGATGGTTGGGGTAGGTGGTGATGGAGGTGGTGGCGGTCGTGGTGGTCAGAGTAGAGGTGGTGGTGGTGGAGATTGGGATGAGATGAGAATGATGCTGCTTCTGCTGATGATGCGACTGGTCGTGCCTTCTTCCCTCCCCCTGCCCCCCCCCACCCCGTAGCGCTGGTGGTGGCGGTGGGCAAGGATGGGGTACACGGTGGAGAGATCAACACGGAGGCGTTCAAGGTGGCACGATACCTCCGGGATAACGGCTACTGACGCTGCTGATGATGCCCATGTTGAGCGGAGCTGCCCGCCACCACCACCTCCACTAGCTGCACCAGCACTACCATCACCACCACCACTACCATCACCTTCACCATCACTGCTACCATCACCACCACCACTACTATCACCACCACTACCATCACCACCACCATTACAGCCATCACCACCACCACTACAGCCATCACCACTACCATCACCGCCTCCACCACCTCCACCAAGACTCCTACCATCGTCACGGAATCATCATCATAATCATCACAGAATCATCATCACAGAATCATCATCCCTATTACTCATGAATGCCAATGATAATAAATGCATACAGTCGTGATTGAATTATTACCTGCGTGGTGACGTGTATGGTGTGTGTGGTGTGGTTAATGACACAAAAAAACCCAGACAGGTGCTTAGTTTTAGTGGGGCTGATGGTAAGGCCCCACCTCTTAGTGGCAAGCACCAGGTTCAGCAGCAGCGCCTCCAACTCCTCCTCTGAGTGAGCGGCAATTACCAGGTTCGTCGGCATACATAACGTGGTTGACCAATAGGGGAGCCATCCCTCGACCACACCCGGGCATCGATCAGCCTCCCATTGTATCTGTACCAGATGGAAATTCCTCCAGTACAGCCATTGAACACTTCACAAACTACGTGGTCGAAATATAAGTAAAATAATGTGGGAGCCAGAGGAAATCCCTGTCGCACCCCAAGGTGAGCAGGGAATGGCTCCAACTTCTGGCCACGTAGCTTTATCTGGATCTGCCCACCATCATGTAGGTTCTTAATGATTGTGAGCAGAGCGTCAGGGACTCCGAAAGCACTAAGAACAACCCAGAGCCCAGGCCTACTGATTGTATCATAGGCCTTGACCAGGTCAATAAAGCAGAGATGTAGGTTTTGTTGGAATTGCCTACAGTTTAACACGTAGGCTTTCGCGACCAATATCATTCATAATATAGGATTTTGGGTTAGATCGCGTTATTTATAAATGTGTCGTAACCCTCCACCACCCGACACGGCCAATCAGCAAAAAATGTGTCACGTTGACAAAAAACAAATAGTTCACTACTTTAGCCCACCGGTATGGTGAAGTGTGAATCCACAACATTTACACATCTGATTTTGATTTAAAGCTTTCGTGACTGCAGTAATTCATATTCTTAGTTTTTTCGGTAAAGTCACGTTGAAGGGAAACAACAAAATAATAAAATATATATAAAACAATAAAAAATAAAAAATTCTCACGACGTTTCGACCATAACTCAAACGGTCATCTTCAGGTGTGTTGGTTAATATGCAAACCAACACACCTGAAGATGACCGTTTGAGTTATGGTCGAAACATCGTGAGAATTTTTTATTTTTTTATTGTTTTATATATATTTTATTATTTTGTTGTTTCCCTTCAACGTGACTTTACCGAAAGAACTAAGAATATATATTTACACATCTGCTTAAAGAGGGGGACCACCAGGGCATCCTTCTAATCGTACAGAACCCGTCCAGACTGTTATTATGATGTCATATAGGTCAGTCTGCAAACAAACGCCACCTTCCCTCAGCAGTTCACTTGGGAGATCATCTCTGCTCGGAACGTTTCCTCCTCTCAGACGCTGGATTGCCTTCAGTACGTCCTCAACAGATGGCACCTCAGCCAGCCACTCACAGGGGGTGACAACTTTTTACAATATTTGAGGCACCACAGCCCCAGCAGGGTCATCCCCACCTTGCCCCATGATGTTTTTTGGCCTGGGGGATTTCCTCTCCCCAATAACTCCACATAAATACTCTGGAAATCTACAAAAACCTGTTCCTGGGGGTCGTAGATCGGATAACCTTTCTTTCCCCTAAGGATGGTGATAGTTGTGGTGCTGCAAGTTATTTTTGATGGAATTAAATAGCGACTTGTGATCACGGGCCACTGAGGCAGATTCCATCTCCTGAGCAACCCGTGACCACCACCCATTCTTGCAGCGCCTCACGGCTCTTCGAACCTCCGAGCAAAGGCTGCGGTAAGCCTCTTCATTCTCTGACGTGGGATGCTGTAGACGATGAGAGTGGGCCTGTCGCTTTTTCTCAGCCAGCCTGAACACCTCCTCTGTCAGCCAGGGTCTCTGGAGAGGTTTGGACCACGCACCCAAAGCAGCCATTGAAGCTGCATGAGTCACAGTCCTAAACCTCGCCCATTTACCCTCGGCATCAGGAGGAGTGGGGGACGATGCCAACCGCAGCTGTACGCGATGATGAAATTCTTGCTGGCAACTTTTATCAGCTAAATGAAACCAATAGAGTCCGAGAGAGACACCCACCACCGGAGTGGAAGAATGGCAGGCGCATCTTATAAATGACTAGTCGATGGTCAGTGGGCAGCTCCATGGTCGGTTCTGGTGTCAAGGACATGGGCTCGCATCCGCTGTTTCATCACTATGTAGTCCAGCAGATGTTCTTGCTTGGACCCGGCATGCATCCATGATGTTGTGTGGATGCGCCGATGCCGGAACAGCGTGTTGGTAATTACAAGCCTATGGGCTGCACAAAAGTCGAGCAGCCTCCTACCGCTGTTATTGAGCTGATCTGGCCCATGCCTTCCAATCACTCCAAACCAGGTGCCAGCATCATGACCAACTCGGGCATTGAAGTCACCCAACATGATGACTCTATCCCGAGGGGCCACTTTAGCCAGCACCTGTGACAGGAGGTCATAGAAGGCATCTGACTCATCGGCCTTGCCTGCATCCCTCCACTGATGTTCATCTTTGGTGGGGGCATAAGTAACCTCAGCTCCTGTTGTTGGAGAGGCGAGCCCAAAGTAGCCTGGGGCTAACAGCTTCCCACACCTCACCGCCACGCTCTCACGCCCCCTTCATTTTTGTGTTCAGATAAAGGGCCACTCCCTGTTTTTCGGCAGTCTCCTGGCCTGAGTAGAGGACTGTCCACCCCTCATTGTGGCAGGAGCCCGAGCCGGTCCACCGGACCCCCTGAATACCACAGAGATCCAGGCAGTACCGGTCCAGCTCCCGATAGAATAGTGGCAGCCTCTCCTCCGCAGTGAGCGTTAGAGCATTCCACGTGGCCACCCACAGTGACTTTTTGTTGTTTCTGGAGGAACTCCGAGGGTAAAGATTCAGTCTCCTGGCTCCGCCAAATGGGGTTTGGCCAGGAGATGTCGCAGACACCTGTCCCCACTGGGCCTCCGGCACAAGCTTAGATATTTCACACGTGTTTTAGTGGAAATTAAATTGAAGGTGGCGGGGTTACCAGCCCCTTGCACCTGCCCAGAGCCCCACCGCTGTGGTGGATACAAGCGTTATGAAGGGAACAGCCGATCGGAATCGGCCTTCCTAGCATGGCATTGCTCACAGCCACCAGAGCCTCACCGTCTGGCACTACCACCACCTCCACCACCACCAACACCACCAACACCACCAACACCCGCACTTCACCAGTAAGTGACGGGGCCTGTGCCAGGCCAACTTCGAGGCCACGTGAAGTGTCGACGGCTCACTGAGAGAAGGTCACCACCACCTCCACCATCAGTCCACCACATGATTGGCACGTCGCATGCAATTGTCTCGGGGTAAAGTGTGGGTATGTCCACCTGTTCCAAGATGAGTCTACGGGTCTCTCTTTGTGTCTCTGTGTAATGGGTCTATGGGTCTCTACATGAGTTGGTGGGTCTCTGTGAGTCTATGGGTCTTTCTGTGTGATGAGTATATGCGTTTCTGTGTGAGTCTGTGGGTCTCTGTGTGAGGAGTAAATGGGTCTCTGTGTGAGACAATGGGTCTCTGTGTGAGTCTGTGGGTCTCTGTGTGAGCAGTCTATGGGTCTCTGTGTGAGTCTGTGGGTCTCTGTGTGAGTAGTCTATGGGTCTCTGTGTGAGTCTGTGGGTCTCTGTGTGAGTCTGTGGGTCTCTGTGTGAGTCTGTGGGTCTGTGCGTGAGAGGTCTATGGGTCTGTGCGTGAGGCAATGGGTCTTTGTGTGAGTCTGTGGGTCTCTGTGTGAGTCTGTGGGTCTGTGCATGAGTAGTCTATGGGTCTCTGTGTGAGTCTGTGGGTCTCTGTGTGAGTCTGTGGGTCTGTGCGTGAGAAGTCTATGGGTCTGTGCGTGAGAAGATGGGTCTCTGTGTGAGTCTGTGGGTCTCTGTGTGAGTCTGTGGGTCTCTGTGTGAGTCTGTGGGTCTGTGCGTGAGTAGCCTGTGGGTCTGTGCGTGAGAAGATGGGTCTCTGTGTGAGTCTGTGGGTCTCTGTGTGAGTCTGTGGGTCTCTGTGTGAGTCTGTGGGTCTGTGCGTGAGTAGCCTGTGGGTCTCTGTGTGAGTCTGTGGGTCTCTGTGTGTCTGTGGGTTTCTGTGTGAGTCTGTGGGTCTCTGTGTGAGTCTGTGGGTCTCCGTGCGTGAGTAGTCTATGGTCAATTTGTGGTGATCCCATGAGCCTCCATGTGGGTCTATGGGTCTCTCACGAGAGTCTTCGGCTCTCTATGAGAGTCTACTGTATGTCGCCACCGGGGAGACAAAGGCGGCTGGGCGGGGTGCTGGCCACCCCTTATAGGCGCTGTTGCTACTCGCTCCTCACAGCACTTGCCCCTCGAGTCTGTCGAGGGCTACACGGGGGACTTTTGCCTTTCGTGGCGACGTCTTCCTCTCGGTGTGAAATGAACGGGCGAGTTGCTAATCTCAGCTCCAGCACATGCGTCCGGTTGAGGTGGTGGTTTGGTTGGGTGGTGGTTGTGGCTCGCAGCAACAACAGCAGAAGGGTGAAGCGGATTAATAATTAATTGGGCGCAATTTATCAACGAATCGTTTGAGAAATATGCGGAAGACTCCTCCACCCCCCCACTCCCCGCAGAAGGCAATCTGCAAGTTCCTGATGGAAACTCGTAGCTCGTACTCTATGGGGGGTGAGTGGGGGAGTGTAGAGTCTGGGGGATTGTGGAGGGGGGGCGCTGTGGGAGGGGCCTGTGAGGGGGGGGCTGTGGGAGGGGCCTGTGAGGGGGGGCTGTGGGAGGGGCCTGTGAGGGGGGCTGTGGGAGGGGCTTGGGGGGGGAGAGGTAATGGGACGGGGGAGGGCCACTTTGGGGGAAGTTCTGTTGTGGGGGTGGGGGGGCGGTAGTCTGTGGAGAGGGGGGGGCTGTGCGAGCTGTGGGGGGGCTGAGGGGGGGCTGGGGGGGGCTGGGGGGGGCTGAGGGGGGCTGAGGGGGGGGGGTCTGTGGGGTGGATTGCTATGGCAGACGGGGCTCTCTGGGAGGGCTGCGTGGGGGGTCTATGGGAGGGGGAACTTTGGGGGCAGGGTGCCGTGGGGGGTGGGGGTGGGGGCTGTCAGGGTGGGGGGGGAGCTGTGGGGTGGGGGCTG